GTTGCGAATAGTTTTGTCATCGTTGGTATCAATGATATTTTCGACACTTAATTACTCTGGCAGAGTGGACAGAATACAGCAATAAATAAAACTCACGTTTTTTTATTCACTCCCATAATTAAACTTCACAATTTGGTCAGCTTAGGGTCCTTTAAGTGTTCTGCACGTTTATCTTCAGTTTCAGAATTTTGGCTAAGCTCACACATTCTGTTCAAAAATATGCTGTAAATATTATGTACTTTTCATTCTACCACTGACACGGGTAGATAAATTTGGATACTGCCGATTGTACTCGGCTTCCCTCCAGGATTCTGCATCAACTATTTTAAACTTGTTGCAATAGAAGGCTAACTAGTTCAAAAGATAACTAATCTTGAGTTGTTTTTTATTATTGTATGTTAAGATGGTCGTCCCAACTATAAAAGCTTCTTCTATCACAAAGTCAACCCTGGTGAAGAAACACATTTCATATGTGGAATCATTGGAAACCCTGTAGTAGCAAATAATGAAATGAAGTTATGGAAACTGGGTACAACTGACTTACTGTCTCCTACTACCTATAATGATGGTGACAAATACACAGCTATTGGAAATTTCACTGTTGTTGTTGTTCAGAATGATGATGTATATTTCTGTGGTGCTCCATATATTGGATTTAATGGATTCTCAATCACTTTACAACTATATGGTAAGTTATAATATATGTAATATTGTGTATCTTAAAATAAGGTAATCACTAGACTCATAATACAATGCAATAGTGTAAAGTAGTTTATCTTGCCTGCAAATATTGTATGGTAATAAAAGGCTATTTAGCATCTGGATATGTGATTAGGTGAAAATTTGTTCTTGTTTATTATCATATAAGCAGCTGTTATATCCATGGTTTTAGCTGTGGTAATATTCTGCAGTATTTGATCCACACCACAAGATACATTTTGACTCCGTGTTGGTTTTTTCTTTTTCATGTGTTTGACCCAGAGGTAAAAAAATAGTAATGGCATTCAGAGCACAACTCTGAATTAAGAGATAACATTTTACTTTTGCAATCTTGTCAGTTAGTTAAAATCTGTTGGCAGTGTTGTCCCCATGATTTTGGTCTAGGATGGCAGCTAATTTGCATAATTATTAGCATATGATTTACACGATTTATTCGTAATGTTTTTATTTATTTTTTAATTTTTCGTAAACTACTCATACATTTGTACACTGTACTACTTTTAGTTTTATAATTTAGAATGAAAACAAGAAAATCAATATTATTATAAAGTAACTCATCCGATATTTCATGTACCCATGCGTGAAGCCTGAAACGTTTTTTTTTTTATTTCATTGATATTTTAGTCATGGAAAAGCATGTTAAACAGTATTCATCGATTTTCGATTTCATTTACAATTTATTTTGAACATTACAATAATCTTTTCTTTGAACATTTTATTTTCTGACATCGGCTATGACGTGATAAGTAAATTACGAATTAGACCAAAACTCTCAATGAGTAAATGTACATGTCAACCGAAATCGACTTTAACAGTCTTTTGAATTTCGTTTCATTTTTTATGGTTGTTTATGAACAGCGGGGAGCATGTCATTTAACAATAGCTGTGGAAATCATAGATGACTTTTGAGTGTGGCAGTGTACATGTCTGACAAGCATGGCGGTACTGCCACGCTGTTTGTATCTTGGGAAGGTGCAAGCCATTTTGAGTGACAAAAATTGTTAATTTTCATTCTTTTTTTGCATTTTTTGGCTTATATCTCAAATTCAGTCCAAATAAGTCAAAATTTGATTAACTGACAATTGTGTTCTAGCATATTAACAATAGTTAATAGTTGTGCTACAATCCAATTAAAGATGGTTGCCTAGTAGCCATTTTTGCCCAATTTTGCCTAATTTTGCCTAATTTGTTACTGTACAGTTAAAACGACCAAGGACTAAACAATGGACTGGAGTCTTTGTCTTATTATGGTGCGAAAATGTGGAACTCGCTTCCTAATCGAATGAAGGAGTGCAAAGATTTGTATTCTTTTAAGCAAATGGTGTCATTGTGGTCACCATCATTTTATGATATTTAATTGATTATTTGTGAAATCTTACTGTTGTTTTTCTCTGTGTTTGATGTTTGTAATTTTTGCTTTTGTTTGATGTAATTGTTAGTAGTCATTGATATTAGCCTTTGGCTAGGTATTTCAAACTGACTTTAAATAAACGAATTGAATTGATTTGAAAAACTTTAGCACAACAATAAAATTTGGTCTGTCACAATCCAATCAAAGATGATAAACTAGCAGCCATTTTCCTTTTTAAAAGTTGTCAAAAATACACTTTTTTGGACATGCTTCGTTTTAAACTTGGTGTGATGGTTTTATAATTTAGTGCCTGATGTACATGTATGTCTTGTTTTGGTTTATTTCGTATTTTTACAATGGCTGACTGGCAGCCATTTCTTTCAGGGCTTTGCATGTCTGAAGTCATTTCTCAATTTTAATAGTTCAAATTTTTTCAATGCATTTGCATCAAAAAGGTGCTTATAAATTCTGACATTTCATTTGTCATTGATTTAAAATACAAAAATGGAGGAGGATGCGAATTTCTCAATGGCTTGTTAAATGTAGGATTTTGATCAAATTTATCAAATGCATTTTCGTTTAAATTTTTAATTACCGTAGTACATTAACCGCAAGAAAAACAAAATATGTATTGGTTTTTGAATAGCTGAAACCTAGTGAAAATAGTTCCATCTTTATAGAACAGATATAAACAGGTTTCAATGTTAAACAACAAAGATTTAAAAATTTTCTGTACATCAGGAATAATTTTGCTTGTTCATGTGGTGATCCTGTGCCACTATATATCATAGAATATGCGCATATACATACTAGAAAATATATATACATATATATCTCATGGGCTGAAAAAGTGGAATGTATTTGAAAATCATCCTTTTGATATGATATAAGATACTTATACTTATAAATACTTATTTGTCACTTTATATTGTACTCCATACATACACCAATGTTGAAAGATGTAACAAATGACTTATGAAACTAACATATAAAAAAACTCATATTACTTTTCATCATCAGATCTGCCAAGATTTCATGCTAGTAACAAACCAAAAGTATCAGATAGTCAATCTGACAAGCTTACTGTGACCTGGAACAAATGGACTACTGATGATATTGGAGATGGACCAGTTGAATCTTATAAAGTATACTACAGAGAGAGTGGTGAGAGTGACTGGATATCAGGTGAAGTTATACCAGTCAGTGATTCAAGTCAGATGAGTTATACATCAACCATCACAGGATTACAATGGTCTACTGAATATGAAATTACAGTGACTGTTAAAAGACCGGGTCCACTTGGTGAAGGAAATAAAGACACTACTATAACAGAAACTACCCTGTGTGCAAGTATGTGGAATCAGTTATCAGTTAAATTTTATTTGACCACTCACAACAAAAATTCAAATGTAACAATTGTGAATCATGCTAACTTAATACATTCTAAGCAAGCTATCAAACAGGTGGATTTTCAACTTCATGGAAACTGTTGATCGCATTGATAACTGTAGGACCATTGGATAAACTCCTTTCAGATTTGTTTTGAATACTTCAATTCCCTGTTTTTCATTTTCACTTTTCTATGAAATCAACTAATAAATTGAATATACATGTTCATTACATTTACCTTTCAAACAAAGTAAACATATGCTTGAATGTATTTTCAATGTTTTTGTTATTTGTAAAGATTATAGCTTCCATTAACTGAGCAATGCCTTGTAGCTGTTCCTATACCAGTATGACCAAAACAGTTTGGGTTTCATCTCTAAATATGGATAAAGTTTTGTTTAATTTTATTTTTATTTAACATATTTAAAGAAGCATGTATATCGATAAAAAACGAACATTTTTAATACCATGTGTAATGCACTTCACTGGAACATGAAATTGCAAAAAAACAAACAAAAAATGTGTGAGTGCAGGAAGACAAAAAGTGAAAAGTTCTTTTTGAATCAGCTGTCCTGTATCTGTTTATACAATTATGTTTATTTTGACACTGTCAATATTTCAGTGATTCTTGGGGTTGAGATGCAGCAGTCTTGCATTTAGTCAGATTCTGTGTACGTGTATTATTGTTGTATATTAACCTTTAAATTTTGTTGCAGCTCCACAAGCACCAATAATTCATCAAGTGTCATCACCAGAGTTGAATCAACTGGAAGTTCATGTGCAGGTATCCAAATGTTGAATATAGAATAGAATATTTTTTTTAATGGCACCATAAAAAGGTGACATTTTTTGGGCTCTATGGCCATTTAAAGCTTAAAAAGACTGGAAATGGTTTCCTCACTATTTGATTTTTTTCTCAGTAATATTAACTTTTACTTTTATTTCTGGTTTCCTTCCGTACACCCCCATTTATGTCTCCAACATTTTCTCAGAAATTCTGTAGAAGATATCATGAAACTTGGCAGGTTGATGAACAAGTCTCTGTTGAATATGCTCGTAATGTTTTATTTCCAGATCTGAAAATCCCATGTGGGTCTTTTTCAAGATTTTCATCCAAAATTATCTCTCCCAACTGCACTGAGAGAAAACTGAGCATGCTCAGAATAAATAATTAGCTTAGATTGTAATGCAAGGGTTTTTAGTGATATCATGACCTTGATCTGAGTCAGATGGGTTGTACCAGTACCAATCTCAGTAGAAAATGCAGAGGGGTGTCAGGGCTACATTTTGATGGGAATTATAGTGGTGATACTGATACAAACCCAGGTCCTGGTAATATACAAAGACCTGATTTAACAAAGAAGTCAAGTTGTTATTAAAGGTACATGTATATCAAGGTTTACTCAGATTTATGAATGCAGTTTCCTGAGCATGTACGAGACATAGTTTGGTTGCACTTGTGTACTCTGAGATTTTGGACCCGGGTCAATGAAAGTTTTCAGTTATCAGA